AACTATACTTGCAACAGGGGTAAATGAACCCTAAGTACACAATGTACTCACGAGACTTGCCCGACTAGTGGGAATAATTTCCCGACTCCGAAGGATATGATAAGCTTTATGGTTTGCTGGGTTTCCTTTTTGGAAAAAGCCTTACAAGTAGTGCATCCTCATGTATGTTTCTTATTAGCAGTCATGATTAGTTCTTTATCTAACCATTCTATGTAAGCACCTGTTCTACTTTCAAGCAAGAGTTGAGCAATCAGGTCCATTCCTCTATCTTTCATCTTCTAGTTCTTACTACGGTGCTAGATCGTAGATAAGTCATACCGTATTACACGGTGATTCATGAATCAATGTAGCCTAGCTGGGTATCCCAAAACACATGCCCGCTTGTACCCCAGGCACAAGCAGGACCAACCCACCACTCTCCTATCAAGGGGTCCAGGTCCCCATCCAAACTTGGACTCCAAGCCCCCACACCTGAGTCCTGAACTTAGTGTGGTGCTTAGACCTCCACCATCCCCACCTCGAATCAGTCAGTCTGGAAAGAGCCCGAACCCACAACAAGAGAGCAACGAGCCTTCCCTGCTCCCATAAACAAGTATGTGCTCAGGATAATAATTCTGTGACCTGACTAGAATCCAATGCAATAGCCGGTCCTTAACCTATATGGACAAGGAAAACAGTGTAAGCAAGCTATGCCCTGTTGGCCGTGGGACACAACCTCTTACACCCACCAATAGTCGTACCATATCCCTACCCAGTCTCCATTTGCTTTCACCATTTTATCATGAGAGTAATATTAATAATCACCTATTGCGAGTAACGACAGGTTAGTCATGCTATCAATAGCCGAAGCATAGCAGCTACTCGACCTATGCTAGTAGGACTCATGGGACAGATATATTTATGCATGTGGTTTCCATAAAATGTCTGTAACGTAAATGCACATCATAGAGAAATATATTTAGTGATTATTCAAAATAAGGGTTATACATCGGGGCTTGACTTGGGCAGGCGGGGGGTTCAGCTAAGTTAGTCAGTCAGTGGTGGCTCCGAGACCTCCTCCTACATGAGAATCTCCTCCTCATACTCCTCGATGATTTCCTCTAACTCGTGATCTCTAACGATCACGATCTCCGCCAACTCGTTCTCTACACGCATGCGATGATGATGCAACACTTAGCATTTCGGCAACAACAACTCTTAAAATAAGAATACACATGGTAAGCTACTAAGTTAGCTCTAATTACTAAGATACTAAGCTAACTATCATCTTCATCAAGTAAAGTGTTGGGTTCAACTAACAAACACGTAGCTTGAGAAATGAAGGATATATCTTTATTTCTACTAATGATTTATTGTATATTTCAAACAAAGAACTTTTAACTACCCTTATCTCTAGTCTATTCTAAAGCTACAAAAATTATAGTGAGCACATAATAATACAATGAAGCTACTATAAAAATTTTAGGGTTTTTGCTATCACCAATCTATCCCAAAAATTCCTACAATAATTAACTTAATAATATTGAGTACTCTCAATTGATTTAATAGCTCCTGGTATCAACAAGTACATATATAAACTAAATACACTAACAGATAGAGCACAATTTTAGGAACCTAACAAAATTGATTTCACAATTTTTTGATACCTACATGATTTTATATAATTTATCAAAGTTCAACTCATAATTGAAATGAAAAGCTATTTCTATTTTTCCATGAAAAAGGTAAACTGATTTCGGCCCAACGCAGCCCACGCGGCGCGAAGCACGCGTGCGTGCGAGCACACGGCGGCCCATAGGCACAGCCCATGCGAGGCCGGCCTACAGCCCAAGGCGGCCCACGGTGGAGAGATCCCGCGCGCGCTGGCACATTAGCAAAAACGCCCTCACGTTATCAGAAAATAGCGTGAACATTATAGATACTATTTCTATAGAAAACGACTTTGCAATAGAACCCTCGGATCTTCTCCTCTTTGCAATGACAAGGCCCTCGACCATCCCCGCGCACGCCAGCGCGGCGAGCGGTGGCACTGGCGCTTATGCCGACCACACGAGACCCACGCTGACCTATTTACAAGGCCGACGCTCACCTAGGGTTCAACGTGAGACGATGGGCGGCAGTTGCACAAGTCGGGACGCCGTAGAAGGACCTCTCCATGAAGGAGGGCACCCTGTGGCATTGGCGACGGTGTTTAGGTGAGCCACAGCAACAACAAGGCGGTAGGGGTAGCAGGTGAGCAACAACAACTCACCAGTGACCTTACGGAGAAGCCGGCTCGACCAGAGACGACCCGAGCGAGGCTAGCCACATGCACGCTGCGAGGTGAATGGCGGATCCCAGCGGCACTGCCGTGTCAGCGGCAAGGAGGCGGCACTAGAGCTACAACTAGCATGCACATGATGAAGAGGTAGCCAAGGCTAGCTAGTGGCATAGAGGAATTGGTGTGGGATGAAGTGGTGAAGGCTGGCCACGACGCGGGCGGTGACGGGCCTTAACGGCACGGTGGTGGGCAAAGCTCCAAAGTTGGAGCTCGGTGTAACACGAGGCAAGGCGGGGTGGGGTTGGCTAGAGAGGGGACGTGAAGGCAGAGACACAAGCACGAGGAATTGATGAGTGTTGGTCACCATCTAGCTTCACCATGACGCGACACGATAGTGGTGGAAATAAAGGGAGAAAGAGGGAAAGAGAGAGATGACGCGGCAGGTGGGCTCGGCTCGACCATGCCTTGGCGGGACATGAGCAGCGAGCTCAGGAGGCCCACGCGCCGGCGCTATGGACAATGTGTGCCCATGTCCGACTGGCATGGCCCGCACGCTGCAGTGCCATAAATGGCATGGCTACAGAGGCGACAATCACTGGGCCGACAATAGTGCAGAGGTGCAGCGGACTGGCGCAGATGCGACGATGATGCGACGGCAGCGGTAGTGTCACAACACGAGAACCATCGGCAGTGCGACCGCGGCAGCACTCATGGCGGCAGCGAGATGCTGGGCAGTATGGCGCGGGGCCAATGGCTCGCTGCGGTAGGCCTCGGCCAAGCCCAGGTGGCTCGACCGGCCAAGTGCGGTGGCACAACTGACCGCATGGGATGCGGCCATGTGCGCGGCATGGGAAGGCCGCGCTGTGACCGTGCACCCAGCGCCAACGAACCCAAGATAGTGACACACACGAATTTTAAAGCGTTCAACATGACCAAACGATTGCTCCCAAGCCTAAACTGTCTTCGCCATGCTCAAGATGGCACAAGGGACTACCAAAACGAGCTATAACACTACACCACTCCTTAACCCAATCTCTCACAATAAATTGCTAAACATAGTAAGGTCAAACAGTCGGCAGACTTGAAAATTTCTAAGCTTTTGAGCTGAATTAGATTCTCATTTGTGATTTCTAAGCTGGAATTATTAGCTAGTCATATCATTTTTCGACCACAAGTATTTCACTGTCATCTACAAAGTTTGTACTTCCAACTTTAATAAGGTGACACATATATGTTCTATAGAATTTTTGCTTAATAAAAATTGGTTTTAAACCCTAAGTGATATAACATGACTATCAAATCAACTGTCATTTCACATTTTTGTTGATCGTTTCGAGTTATAGAAATTGATCTACACACTTTATTACATGCATTAACACATAAACATGATGCTCATGACATGTTTTAGTAACTGATTTATGATGTAACACCGAGGGTGTTACAGGGAAGATGCCACTGTGTGCAGACCGATGGCTAGGAGGTGTGGAGCTGAAGTTCTGAATGACTAGAGCAGGTTCTGTAGTAGAGGTGAAGTTACCGGGATGTAGTATTGTTCATTGTAGCAGACGATACCGTGTCAGAGGGACCAGGCTGGTGCTACCACCTAGAGTTCGATGGTGGCTGAGATGATCTGAAGTTTGTGCTCATCTAAAGTAGTGAGGTGAAGTTGAGCGAGAATCTCTAGGTCTGGCTCGATGCGAGTAGCCACCCAGGCGCTAGCTAGTGGAATCGATGTCGTGGCCATAGTGGAAAGCTGGAGTGGAGATGCATTGGCTGATTTGGTGGTGGAGCTATCGGTGTGACCCCTTGCCGTGGTGTCGGAGGGGTTGTCGCTGGCAGAGGTTGATTGCCCAGTCTTGGTGGGTGCAGGTGTTGGGGTCTCCAAGGAGTGGGCGTGGTCGATGGGCTTCTCCATGGAGCGAGGATGGTGCTGCAAAACTGCCTCTTGGAGTACATGCTGAAGGCCATTGACGAAGAGGCTGACTTGATGTTGTTCACTGGAGATGCCGATGCGTAGAGCATAGGCGATGAAGTTGTTGATGTAGTCATTCACTAGCTGGTATGACGACGTGGTGCGAGGTCATTGGTGGTGTCACGGTTGGGGCTAAAGTTGCGGATGATGCTCTTAGTGAAGTATGCCCACTCTATCATGGGTGTATCCTTCATTGCGTGCATGTACCACTGGTGTGCTTCACCTGATAGATGAAAGGCCGTGTACTAGGTTTGGTGTGCTTCTGGCAGACGGTATAGGTTGAGATTTGCTGCATGTGTGAAAGCCATGGCCTCGAATCCATCATGTCATTGTATGTAGGCATCGTGAGCTGGGTTTTGATAGGGGCATAACATCGTTGTGGTGTAGTTTTCAGTATTGGTGGATCGACCCTTCGTACCTATGGCCAAGTGGCCGGCTGCTGCTGTGGTGGCGCCTTCACCTATGGGGTAGTCGCTGGGATGACTAGGAGCTAGCAGGATAACTACGCTACCAATGGCGTCTCCTGCTCATTGGTTTCTGATGCTTGCTGGACAGTTGGTGGTGGCGATGGAGTCGTTGGCTGAGTCATAGTTGATAGTGTTCTCGGTAGGAGCTCTCGCTGGTGGTTGTCCTGGACTGTGACTGACCGGATGACAGGAGGCCCTTCTAGTGGTGGAAGAGCAGTGCGATTGGAGGCTATGGTGATAGAGGTGCATCCAACAGCAAGGTGTCGGAGACTGCGAGGATGATCTCTGTGGCACTGGAAGACTAGGGTTCGTCCAACTTGCGCTTGAGATAGGATTTGTCGGCCGCGATCCTGGCACGCTTGGTTTCTGTGGTTAGATCGTCGATGGCAGCTTCATGGTCCAATGTAGCTTGGACGCTGGAGATGGCGGCGTCGCCGTGGATGCGTGCACGCTCTATTGCATGTAGACATTTGTCAAGGTTGAAGAGTTGGTGACGCATCTCTCCGAAGTTCATGTGGAGATCAGTAGTGAGGTTGTTGAGCAGCTGCTGCATGGTGGTGGTTGTGGAGTCCATGGATCATCTGGTCTCTAGATACTAGTGTAAGGGCCCCGTAGGGAGGGGCCCTAGGGGGTGGTGGCTAGGGTTAGAGAGGGAGCTATGGGTGGCGACCTATGGAGATGGCGGCGAAGCTAGGGCAATAGAGAGGGAGAGGGTCAGCGCAGGAAGGAGGGAGAGGGGAAGGGGAGATAAGCCTTGAGGCAATCCTTTCTTGATTCCAATGATTACATAGCCCATCTACTTATAGTCCTGGGTAGACTTGCATCTTAAGTAATCTAATGAGGGAAGTCCTTATAGATATGGACTCCTTCCTATCTTAGCTAATCCTATTCCTATTGGAGATCCTTTGGATATGGATAGTGGAGTGGCCGGGATCTGCCCTTGCTTGTGTGCGCCTCCCCTAGGTGGCGCTGCTGCTGCTGCCATCGGCGACGGCCCTCCTGGCGCTGCTGCTGCTGTTGGCGCCTGGGCCATGTGGGCCTTGGGCCCTGATCCATCATATGATAGCTTTGAAATAAAAATAAAAGTTCATATTCTTTCTCCCCCTCCTTTCTCCTTTTATGGCCCAATCCATTGCACCCCTCTTCCTCTACCAAAATATCCCTTTCTCAGGATTTCCTACATGGAATCCACACCTGTGTCCTTGCTTTTAAGTGCACATGCCACCAGCTACACAGATCTAGTCGCGTGCATGCACAGATGTCACTGAGCTTGCCACCGCTATCACTGCTGCCAACCACATCATCAGTATTGATGAAATCTTATTTGTGGTCTTTGTGTTTCGGTAGTGCTCTCTCTGTCTCTTCTCACACACGCTGTCACCTAATCACTGATATGTCATGGGGTCCTGATCTTCACGACGTAGGATCAACATCAGATAACTAGCTTCATAGAAACCAAGATAACTTGCTATAAGCATCAATAACTAGTGCACCCTAGCAAATAAAACTCGAAGCCAACCACCATCTTTAACGGCAACTTGAATCAAGGATTCACCCAACCACACTCTCATGGAACCAACCAACACAACCTACAATCAATCAAGGAAACCTCAAAGGGAGTAGGAGCACCAATTGGGAGCCGATGAAGCCACCACTTTTGTAATCCCGTGAAGGAAATCACCAGAGCAAAGGGGTAGAGATCACTCTCAAGGTTTGTGAGCACACAACTGAACAAAGTGGTTTCTATATTTTGATTATCAAAAGTCTTCAATTGCTAACAAGCACAGGGGTTTTTATAGTAGGAACAACCCTCCTAGATGGGTATAAAAACAAAATGGAAAAGAAAAGGTAGGGTTTCCACGAAATGAGTTTCTGAGTAGTTCCTACATGGTTGTTGGTCTTCTACGCAATCTTCAGTGTTTTGGCAATAACTCCACATTGAAAATTCAAATTGATGTGTTGTTCAATGCATTGGAAAGATAACTTGATAAGCTTTCAGATCATGTGTAGCAAGCACCACGAAATATTGTAGACTGGTATAGTTTTGCATGAGAAGTTGAACATCAGGAAGACTATTGATGTGCTGACCAGTCTTCACTAATGCAGTCAAATCTCTAGATTGGAAAGTTGAAATCAGTTGAGACCACCCGATCTGAAAACTAGACTTGACAAGCTTTCCAACAAGTCCTCGTGGGCCTTCATAGCTTTTGGTAATCCATTACAAGTCCTCATGTTGGACTGGTCCTAGTGTGGCTCTTCTCCGTAGTCCACTCTTTGTGTGTTGTTGTCATCCTCCTTAGTGAACCTAAGCAATAAAACATGCACAATTTAGGTAGTATATAATTCTCACTAATGTTGTAATGGATTTCACAAAGTACCGCATTCACCTTGTATTGTAGTTTCTTTGTTCGACTGTGTGTAAATGGTCCATCAAAGAGGTGATCTAGTGTAGTTGTTGGTGATGTTCGGGTTGTACTTGGTGCATCTTGAATTGGTGATGGCATGGTCATATCATCCTCCTACCCTTGAAAAAGAGTCGTCCTTAACTCTAAATTGTCTAGGACCAATAATTGTGCTGGGCCAACAGGGGTAGAAGCTATGTTTCTATTACAGTGTTCTTCTTCCATCACAACAATGTGTTTGAATCTATAATCATATAACCCAAATAATAGTCTTATAGGTGGAAACCAAAAGGATTTAGAATCAAGTTTAGCTTTCACCTTGAATGGATGCTGAGAATCAAGAGTGAATGTTGATCTCCTTGGCATGGTCTTATCATCCTTCCTCCCTTCTAGAAAACTTGTCCTCTGCTTTTGTTCTCCTGAAAATAGTGCAAAGAAAATTGAGATGAGTGGATGCATATGCCAATTGCTATGATCATTTATTGAAGATTGTTCATTGCCTTTTTTATAATTCATATGCACATTATTTCTTTTCTAGTGAGATGAATAGTTTCTCAGATTTTGTGAACCTGAAATTAGCTTTGAAAATGGAATCACAAAAAATTCTTTCAAACCACTCATTTGATTCAGGTTATCATGTTTTATCTTTGTAAAATCAAATGTATCAAAATATGGAAATGAAGCATATTTGATACTCCAAGAATTCTTAATGCACAACTTATGCAAAGGTTTAGAAATGTACCTTTTAGACTCAATGGTTCCACATGCGGATGGAAAACCTTTGGATAGGATTTCTTTCTTTCAATAAATATGAAGAAGGAAATAATATTGATTCTTCTGAACAACAAGAACTAAGCAATCTATTCATATCGAATTCAGAAAAATAAGGTTCACAAGAGGTATTACTGATTCTATTCAACTTCATTTTAGCAAGCTGTCACATGTTATGCTTGGGCACAAACATAAAATTTATTTACAACATGATGTCCAATGAAGTTAAAAGTAAACTTGCAACTATATACACTATTTAAAGATTTCGTAGATGATATATCAAGGACACTTTTAAGTATTTTATTAATGTCAATAAGATCATCAAAGCTTAACATAGAACAAACATTTAGCACGAGATATTTTTGTGAAGAATTTAGCATGACTAATCAATTTCACATGGTCCACATTATTGACATGTAAAGTATCATATATATCAATCAAAGCTAGCAATGGTCATGCATGATTAAATAATGGTTATCAACTTGCAAACTTTAAGCATTTGTATGAACATGTGGATCAATCAAATCAGCAAAAAGATTTTGTGTATGGTCAATTCCAATTGAAACAAGTGGGTCAACACATTTGCTCACCATTTTATGTTGTAAATTCAGACCTGAATTCTTTTCATTACCTTTCAGATTTGGTGATAGTGTAACTATGATAGAATGCATTGCTGAATTTCTACCTCCATCATTGTCATGATTCATGTTTTGGGCAGCAACGAATTGACTCACTATAGTGCTACTGTCTCAAATGTCTCTAGTTGTGTAGCGGTGTTAAGAGCAGCCATCTCTTTATAGCTTGCATGGAAAACCTGTACATCATGAGAAACAACACTAGAAGTAGAGATTAGTGGGTTAGAGAAAACATCCTCACATGTTTTCCAATGAAGCTCTCTCTTTTTGTGTGGTGTATCCCTCACACTCCTTTTGTTGATGATCTCAACCTCACTTTTGATGGAATCACACATCACTTTTATTTTCACTCACAATCAATTTGGCTATGTGGTTCTCATTCTCACATGGGTTTTGATGCACAATCTCTTCAACATCTTGTGGAGCATCATAGGAATATGTGTCATCATTCATGGTCTTTTGCAATGGTATTGGGACAGCAATAGATGTAGCTGAATAATCATCTTTGACCTCCTCAAAAAACGCTGAACTGGCATCAATAGAAGTGGAATCATGTGCACTAATCTTGCCTTCAATCTGAACATTTAGTGACATGTTCGAGCACATAATTTCAGCACTACTGTCCAAGAATTCATCACATATTGCAGCTGATGGTACAACACATCTTGGCATTTTGTTCATGCTTGGAACAACATCAATTTGTAACTACAGATTTGTTGGAGCTTGATAAACATCATCTTGGATAGATTTGTCACTCACACTAGGTGACACAATAGGAATGTCTTTCTTCTCACATTCAGCTCTGAAACTGAAACTATGGTGGATCTTCAAATTCAGATTAGACACATCTTCAAAATTTGAATTGTTACCAACCTTTTAATCACATTTTGGCTCCGAATTTTCACTGTGTTGCACAGAAAAAATTCTGGACAGATTTGGACAATATAACTTCACCACATTTAGCACTAGAACAAGGCTCAAAATGTTTGGGATCTACAGCACTTGTGTTTGTGCATTGCGATTATGGTGCTTCTTGAATAACATTTTTAAGATTTGCATGGTGCGAAACAACAACATGTTCCTTAAACTCTGTACTCAAATCATTAGTGATGTGACCACGTCAGCATCGGGGACCTCGGCGACCTCTCCGACCACCTCGGCGATCTCTCCGACAACTTCACCGACCTCGGCGACTTCTCTGACCACCTCGGTGATCTCTCCGACCACCTCGGCGATCTCTCCGACCACTTCACCGACCTCGGCAACCTCTCCAACCACCTCACCAGCTGATACACCACTCCAAGTCCTTACTGGACCAATCACCCGTAGTCGTGCCCAAAAGATACAGCAAGAGGTGCACGCGCTACTTTGTGAGTTTCAATTAAACATTGATGGTAATTTCGAGCTACCTAAGTCGTGCATGTTGTTATTACTCAGGTTCTCCGAGAAGGAAGACAAGGATACATCAAGGATGGATCAGAGAGAAGAGCTATGTTCGAGTCAACCCAGCATGATAGAACCATCCAGAAGAAACAGTCATATCTTTTGTCTCCCAAAGGCTATGAAGGTGAATGAGTACTTGTTGGAGAGATCTTGAAGCCTAGTTTCCAATGCTGTCATGCCGACCAGTTTGGAGTGTCCAGCGTGGCGTCCAACTAGTTTTAGTGAAGACTGCTCCAAAGCCCAATAGTCTGCATGAAGCTAAAGATCCCGTGCAAAAACTGTACCATTCTACAATAATTCGTGGTGCATAGCATACATGGTTGGAAAGATGATGAAGTTAGCTTTCCAACGCATCCAACGGTTCGTCATTTGGACTTTCCATGAAGGAGTTATGACCAAAACATTAAAGACTGCCTAGAAGCCTAGAAGACACGTGGAAACTGAAGACCACCTCGTGCGTTGATCTTCCACCTCCCAACATGGCTTCTTCAGTTCACATCTATCTTAGAGACTTCTCATAGTATAAATTTTACCACTAGGCTATAAGAAAAGGACTTTTTTTGATGATTTGATAATTCAAGTAATATTGCAGCCGAGCTGCTGAGTGCTTACTCAAACCCTTGTTCTTCCTTGTTCTTCTGGACTTGTGAAGAGATTCCTCTAGGATCCACTAATTCGTGCTTTGCGGGTTCCAGCACGGCTGCCCCACCTTGTGTGGATTAGCTCCGGTTGTGGTTCTGCGGTCGTTCGGAGATTGAGTCAAAGTCTTCGCGGTTTCGGTGCCTCTCTCCCTGTCGCTTGGTCGCATCCAACCTTGGCAGGTATAAAGCTAGTTATCCTCTGCTGTTCGCAGCAAGTTATCTTGTGATTTCCAACCTACTGTCGTGAAGATCGGGCCATTCCGAGGAGGTTTCCATTGGTATCTTGCTATTGGTGATCTCCGACCCTTTATCATGTGGTAATCAGAGCTATCGTTGTCACGGTAGGTTTTGTTATTACCTACTTATCTATCTATTCGTTTACCATCTACTACTGCTTTTATCCATCACATATATTTGTTTCGCCATATCCTATAGTCCAAAGCCACACAAAAAATACCTATAACCATTTCGCGGTACTATTATGTTGTGTTTTGTGTTCATCGAGTTGCTAGTCACCACCGTTTATATAAATTGAGTTGTTTCGTTCGTTACCGTTGTCAGTGTTATAAAAAAAAGAAAGAGATTAGTTTCAAAAAAAAGAGGAGAAGTGAAAAGAAGTTGAAGGATCTATGTTGCGGTTTATTGCTGAAAATTTTAGTTTACATATTTGAGTTGGTGGTAATCTTGTTAGCAGCAACGTCGTGTCTTTGAGCACATCAAACCACTCGGTTGGCAGTACCGTAGCCGTCCTTGTTAGCCACCTATAGCTCCACCGAAACCGGAACCGGGACGTTCGATTCGTAATCCTTACGACCTCTGTACCACCTCCGTTGAAGCTGCCACACCAGCACCGTCATGGTCCTTGAGAATGAGCAAGAACTTGGGTAAGTAAGAGGTGAGATTGTGTGTTTCCACAAATTTACCTATTTCACTTTTTCTTGCAACTAGTCTAACATGGCAGGATCCAATTTGAGTGTTCATGGTGGGGACCACAGAGATGAAGAACCCCCTGTTGCACGGGCGGAGCTACGCCAAATGGCCAACTCGCTCTTGGAGGTGATGGAGAGGATATTCAACGAACATCTCCCTACAGTGGGTGGTTGAGGTCCACAACATCAACATGAAGACAATCACCATGAAGAATTTGGTGATGAAAATTCTGGTTTGGGTGCTGGATTTCATGGCCGCAACGGCAATGGTCATGGTGGTCACGGTGAAAGGCATCGTGCCAATTTTGATCAGCGCGGTGGTGGATGGCGTGCTGAATTTGATATTCGGCATGGAGGATGATGGACGTGATCGTCGTGTACATTTTGATGATGAAGATGAGGTTCATGATGAGTATGAGGAGGGATTTGATGATAATGAAAATCCTTTTGGTCACCATGGGCATTTTGGACAGCCACATGAACATCGTCGTGGTGTTGGTCTTGATGGGGAAAATCCTCATGGTCGTCGCAATAGAGATGATCCGGATAGCATTGCTCGTGTAAAGTTAAGTATTCCAAAATTTTCAGGGAAAGAAAATGCTGATGCTTATCTTGAATGGGAGGAGCAACGTGATTAGATTTTTAGAGTGCATAATCTTTCTGATCAGAGGCGTGTCAATCTAGCTTCTGTTGAGTTTTCAGGTTACGCTATCACATGGTGGAACCAAGTTCAAGAAAATCAACGTGTGTTGGGACGTGACCATATCAACACATGGGCTGAGATGAAGAGAGTGATGAGAAGACGCTTTGTGCCATCAAGCTATTAGCGTGACCTCCGCAATAGGTTACAAACATTGAGACAAGGATCAAAATCTGTTGATGACTACTTCAAGGAGATGGAGTTACTCTTGGTGAGATATGGAATTAGAGAAGATGAAGAGTAAAAAATGGCAAGATTTTTGAATGGTCTCAATGAAGAAATTTCAGGTTTTGTTGAGATGTTTCCATATCATAATTTGCAAGACCTTGTTGATCAATCTATGCGCACCGAGAGGAAAATTCAGCAAGAGGGACGAAGAAGGTCTTATGGGAGCCAATCAATTTTAGCCCCATGGCGTCAGCAGCAGCCTGGTACCTCTATTGGTGGGGGTGGATCACAAGGAGTTGCTACTAGGCCTTCTCCATCCATTGGTGCTGCAAAGATAATGGTTTCTACTACTTGTTCACCTGCAATTCAGCAAGAACAGTGATGTCCTGCTGCAAGCACAGCAACCCCTTCTGTTGCATCAGCTGCTGCTTCTTCTTCCCATACCTGAGGCATTGTTTGTCACAAGTGCCAAGGTCGAGGACATGTTGCTGCTCAATGTCCTAGTCGAAGGACCATGATTATAAATGAGCAAGGTGAATGGGAATCTAAAAGCGAACCTGAGGAAGAAGCTCCAATATATGATGAAGAAATTATGCAAGATAAAGGTGATGAAATTCAACCTGATGATGGAGACAACAATTGCTTCATTTCTCGCCAAGTGCTTAGTGTTACTGTTGTCCAAGAAGAGAATAATCAGTAGCACAATCTTTTTCACACTCGGGGCATGATCAAGGACAAGTTGTGTCAAATCATTGTTGACAATGGCAGCTGCAATAATATTGCAAGTCGAGAATTAGTTGAAGATTGGGACTGAAACAGCGGCGCCACCCTTCTCCATACAAGATGCAATGGTTAAATGATTGTGGTGCGCTGCGTGTAACAAATATTGTGACCGTTCCCTTCTCCATTGGGCGGTACAATGATCATGTGGAGTGTGATGTGGTTCCAATGGAAGCATGCCAATTGCTGTTAGGAAGGCCTTGGTTGTATGACTGAGATGCTTAGATTTGCAGTCGCGCCAACAAGATTGTTCTCATGTACAAAGGAGAGCGCATCACTTTGCTTCCCTTGTCACCGGAGGAGATTGTGAGAGATGATCTGAAAAGAAAATAGCGAGCAAGCAAGAACCACTTACGAGTGACACACAAGCATAGTGAAGGAGTGTTTCCAAAGCCAAATAAAACTCTACAGCTGCAAAGAACCGAGCCAAAGGGAAAAGAGGGTTTAGTGATGATGGCTAGGAAGGGGGATTTAAAAGAATTGAGTGAACCCAATGTTGTGTTCTATGTATTGCTGTACAAGGACAATTTTCTTGTCACTAACGACTTACCCTCTACTTTGCCTAGTGCTATTTTTGATGTGTTACAGGAATATGAAGATGTGTTTCCTGAGGAAGTACCACCAGGGCTGCCACCAAAGAGAGGGATTGAACATCAAATCAATCTTGTTCCTAGTGCTCCACTTCCTAACCATGCACCATATCGCACCAATCCGGGAGGAAACAAAAGAAATTCAGCTCCAAGTGCAGGAGCTCATCAACAAAGGTTATGTAAAGGAAAGTCTATCACCTTATGCTGTTCCTGTCCTTTTAGTTCCAAAAACAAATGGCTCTTGGAGAATGTGTGTTGATTGCCGAGCCATTAATAACATCACCATAAGGTATAGACATCCCATACCTCGACTTGATGATATGCTTGATGAGCTTAGCGGTGC